ATAATTACATAAAACGTCATTGGGCAGCCGAACTACTTTCCGCCGTCCAGCGCCACGCTACGGACAGTTTATACATACATATAATTATATATAAATTATATATAAATTAGGTACTGTATATATAATTATATATTAACTTAATTTATTGTAACTTTATTATAATTATATGTATAGTTTCTGCCGTCTAGTGCCATGCTACGGACAGTTTAGGCGAGCTATCGTCTGTACAGTATGTAAATTAGGTACCGTAAGTCTAATACAGTACTGTAATTTTATACATTTCTTGTGAAAGAAACATTTCTTATTCAACAGTGATTAAAATCATTTATATTAATGATGTCTCCAAAGTTCAACAAAGTTTTCGCAGAAAAATAACATCAGAAATCACGGCCGCGGTTTGCTGTGCTGTTCCGCAACGAAAACAAGCTTGAGCTATGTTGAATGGTGCACACTCGGTAACTAATCCTACAATTTTTTGTTTATAACATAGTTTATACGGATTATTTCCAAAAAAAATATACCTATTTTGGAAATGTTGAGTCGGATTAGTCTAGAATTGATTAATTTTATGGAAGAAAACCTTTCAAACAGCCATAGTCTGTAAACTTCACACGTGTCAGGCTGTGATTGGCTATGATTCCTACAAAATTGATTCATAAAGAACGGAACATATCTACCGTCTTATAGGGGGATCGACTGTATTTTATTTGTTGTTTTCGTGTTCAAATTTATTATTAGGGCATTTGTGTTATTTTTACCTTAAATTATGTGTATTTGTTGTTATAAGTTTATTGAAATGGATACTGTTTAGGGTCCAGGAATGGATTAATTCAATTTCCATTATTTCTAATGGGAAAAATTGCTTTGGAATTCAAACTACCTCCTGGATTAAGTTCAAAGTACTAGGCTCAACTATATTTCATAAAAACACAAACAGAATAATACTGTACAATCTTTCTTCAGTAAGTACAGTATTAACATGCTTTTAACATCAAAAAACAGCTTTCATAATGTCACAATCAAGCCTTGAGTTCTAATTGCCCATGGATATACTGAGAAATTTCTGTTAAAAATGTATACATTACAGTTAAAATCAAGAAATAATTCAGCTATTTTTTTATTTTATGAAAATTTATAAAAAATGAAATTTTAACTTTTCAAAATTTTGAATGTATCTATATGAATTATTTGAGAATAATTTATTGTTGTTGTGAAATGTATATTTGTTTGTCTCAACTTGAATATAATATTAATAAAATAATATAAAATATATTAAATATAATTTGAATGTAAGTTATATTATATAACTTTATTATTTTATTATATTAATTATTTTTTGTCCTAAATTTAATTATTATATACGTAACATACCAAATTGTAAATTGTTACAGCAATTTTTACAGTAATTTATTTTACAATATTGATATTGAGAATTAAAATGAAATTTTACAGAAATATAATTATTTATAATGTAGTAGTGTATTTAGACATATCAAACTACTCTAAGAGGAATTTATTTCTCCTGAAAACATGCATTAATTTTGTGTGTCTTGATTAGTAATAAGTAAAAAACAAATACAGTAAAATGTTATTTGAAACTCAAGGAACCAAAAAAAATAACACAATTTTGAATTATCTTACATAACATTATCTTTCACCCATTTGGTTACAAATGTGTTAATATTATTACTTTGACAGTTTTTCTGAAATAGCTTAAATTACAATTGGTCTGTACTTTGAAAATCATGCATTTATGTACTAATCATAATAAATTGAAATTTAATTTAAAAAGAGAATTAATTATGCATCTTACCTTATTGTGATTTATCACATTCAAGATTGCTTAAGTGTTTCAATAAAAATTATCCATGAATTTTGTCTCAAGCAATGTTTTTTGACTTTTTTCTCATTATTAACCAGTAAAATTATAGGTAATTTTACATGAACAGTAATTATATGTAAATGTGAATTATGCTTATTCATTACATAAGCATGTATAAGCCTAAATCTATTTCTCTATCTCTTAATTAATTCTACATTATTTTTTAAATGTCATCCATAATCAACTGTTCAAGAATCAGTATGGTCAAATATTTTTCTGCAGACTTGTGGTTGAAAAACACTGGTTTAGAGGACCAATGGCTAGTTCTATGAAAAATTCACTGTCTTGAGTTTGAGATTATGAAAATCATGTGATCTAATGAAAACAAGCTCTATTAACAGCTAAAGCTATAAGTAGGCATTCTATTGTGAATACACATGTGTATTTAATCAACTTTGGAATTATTGAAACAATAGATTTTTGCAAAAAAAATGTCCAAAACAATTAAATCCAAATGACTTGAATAGATATCCAATAAATCAGTATAATTGGTAAAATCAAAACTGAAAATGCCACTTGGGCATGGAAACTTTCTTATAAACATGTAATATATCCTATGGGTCGCCAGTTAAGATAATGAGTTTGAATTTCATTGTATGCATATTTCAAATTATCCGAACTAAAATATATGCAAAAATCCTATTTTTTGGCTAGGGACAAGATTTAATTTCAAATTATGCAATATTTTGAAATTGATATCAAAATAACAAGGTTTTACTAAGGCTTTTTAAGTTTATTATGGCATAGCTTAAATGAAAAATGTAAAGAAAAGATAACTAGAAATGTATGCAATATATATACAGTAGAGCATCGATTATCTGACTCAATTGGGGATTCAGGTTGGTTGGATAACTGAAAAATCGGATAACCAAAAAGAAGGGAAAAAAATACATTATTAGTATAGGATATTAGTATATCCCATGTAATTAGTTTATTAGTATATCGCTATTAACCAACTTAGTGTTGAATTTTCATCGGTGTTTAGCCTAACAATTTTTTTTAAAATAATAATCGTCGCTATTGTATCGTTAATAAAAATTATTTTTAAATTATTTTATTGCTAATGAAACAAACAACCACTCATAATTAGAAAATTAAGTCTTGTTTAAATATTGGCCTCCCTTCAATGGTTGAGCCGTTGATGCCAGCTAAAACACGCGAATATTTAACAAAAATAATATTAAAGTAGCCAAGATATAGCCAAATATTGTAATGCCACATCACTAGCAGACATTTGAAATTTGCCGACTAGAACGGTTGGTTAACCGATGTGATGGTTAATCGGGGGTTGGATTATCAATGCTCTACTATATATATATATGTTACTGCTAAAGCTTGAAAGTCATTAATGTGTACATTACCTAGTTAATCTGGAGATTAGCTAGGGTGATCTGTTAACGTGCGGAATCAAGAGTTTTCCGCATTTTACCTAGGGAATCTGCAAATTAATGGCTTCTGTATCATTAAAGTTCAAAAGTTTGTTTCTCTCATTTCCTTTCCCTACTAATTCCCGAACAACACAGAGCAAAAACTGATGCACGCTCAATTTTAGCTGTGGTTCTTAGTAAAACAGGCGATGGCTTTTATAAACTTGGTACTAAAACAGGTATTTTAAAACAATTGTATGCAAAATCTGAATTCAGTGTTTGCAAAGAGAGATTTTCAACGAAAGATGTCCCTGCTCTAGAAATATGTTTATGTCAAACAGCAATAAAACAATCCCTTGGTACTAGGCAGGGTTTCAGAAATGTGAATGCATTGTGTAAAATTGGTGTGCTTGTTGCAAAAACCAATTGCTACGTAATTCAAAGTGTCACTAATTTTTAGATTGCACTAATAAGTAAGCACAATTTTAACATACATTTTGCAAATTCATTTCCCTAATTATAATAATAATTAAAACCATTTGATTTTTTATATTACAGTTTTTTAATTGATTGATGATTGATTCTATCAACTAATTTGTTGATTGATTGTATTAACTTGATTCTTTAGATATCGAAAATTAATTAAATAACATTATGTTATAACATTGTATTATAATACAATGTCACTTCACGCCAACGTTTATTATATGATTATAACACATGTTGTGGTGTTACAGGAGTGGAGACTTGGAGAATGAACTCGTCCGCTAGTACTTTCAGTAGTATATAACTATCATCTTCAGGCGGTCTATCGAATACAACAGCTTAAGATTTTCGCTTAATTAGGAAAGAAAACAACTTAATTAAAACTGTTTTCCTTCCACATGCTATGATGCACAAAAGGATTTTTTAATTACATTCAAAAACGAAAAATCAGTTAATCCGTCAGAAATATTGTTCGATAATTTTGAAAATCCGAAATTTGTGAAACTGTCGGATTAGTGTTCGAAAATCTTAATCTGTTGTATTCGATAGACCGCCTTAAGACTGTAGTTATACACTACTGAAAGTACTAGCAGACGAGTTCATTTTCTAAAGTTGGACGAGTTCATACTCCAAGACTCCATTCCTGTAACACCACAACACGTAAGTGTTATAATCATATAACATTATGTTGATTTTAAGCGTACAAAAACGTTGCTGTTGTTCTGGCAAAGATCTTATTTTCAGTTTACCAGGTACCTAATAGGTAATGTGCAGATTACCTAGATCATCTGCACATTACCTAGGTAATTTGAGAAATGGAACAATTTTCAAAACTTTAACAGATCACCCTATTTCATCTGGAGATTAGTTGGGTAATGTACACATTAACGGCTTTCAAGCTTTAGCAGTAACATATATATTGCATACATTTCTAGTTATTATATTTTGATATAATTTTACATAATATAAAAATGAATTTCTTAAAGATTTTATAACCAATAATACTTTTGACTGATTACTGTAGAAGAAATGATTATTGTTGCATTTTAAAACTCATCATTTTATTACATGAAGAATATTTGACATTTTTATATACAAATTTACATTCAATTATTATTTGAAAATTGCTATTTTTACAATATATAAAAATATATTGTAAAAATAGTAATATAATATAATATATAGTCATTATTTAATGAAAAAATCACTTTCCTTATGAGTAAAATTTTATTTAAAACAATGATAATTTCTGAAACTTTTTATAGATGATGATGAATCAAAATCTTCTCATGAAACTATTCAAGACAATCAACCAATAATTCAAGAAGAATCCTTATTCAGACCTTCTAGTGAATTACCTTTGTGTTGGGAACAACATTCCAAACTTTTACCTGGTGTTTGTCACATAGCAGGTCATATGGTATCTAAATGGTCTATTGGTCAGGTAGCAGATTTTGTTGCTACTCTTCCAGGTTGTGAAGATAAATCAAGGATTTTTAGTGAAGAGGTATGTTTAATAATTATATTATATTACATTTTGAGTTATATTGTGCTAAAATTTTAATACCCAATATGCAGTAAAACTGACATACAAAAATTACAACTGTTAGGAGATTTACCAAACACTAAACAAATGTTATATTTTTATATTAGTCAATGACAGTCTTGTTACAAGTCTCAAGTCATTTTCTGGAAAAAATTTTAATCCTATTTCACCAACAGACAATTAGACAATTCACAAAATTTACAACTATTTTAAATCTAGGATTAGCAACTTTGCATTCTACATTTTCAAGATTAGACATGATTAGTGACTGGTTATGAGTTCACTGGAAAAACTTTTTTTGTTTGAAACTGAAATCAGATTAGTTTATCAAGTGTATGTGAGAAGAGAAATAATTTTATCAATAGTTCTGTTTTATTTTTTGAGTAAATTTTATATTTTCTGCTTGATTTCAATTAATATTTAAACAAAAGAATACCCTTCATAATGAAGAGTATTTAAATATTTTTGTTAAAACAATTTTATTATGATTATTAAAATTAGATATTAAATAAAAGTTTCCTTCAAAAAAAGTATTGTAACATTTTATTATTATTTTACAAAACAAAAAAGTTTTAGATTGAATTGTTTTTAATTAAAATGAAAGTTTATAGATTTATATTTACCTATTTAATCTTTATTAAAGCTTACAAAAANTATGTTTATTATTTATTGCGTGAATTAATAGATAAGTGCTACCAAGTAATCAAATATGATTTTATATTTTAAAACAAACCATGAATTTAGCAATTAAACTACATTTTAAAGTATAATACAATTAAAATTGTCTTCAGACAATGAATGAGAATACAATTCATTAATGAAAATAGGTCAGATGATACCAACTTTGATTTTGAATTTATATTTAGCATACATATTTTAATTTATAATTACTTCTAAATGTGACATCTTTGTTTTCAACTTATAAAACTGGATCAAATATTGGTATGATGTATGCCAAAATACATTATCAAGACAAATAAATGAACCATGTTTCACTTTCTGGTCATGAAAGAATTGGTTGTGGCATGATTTGATGCCATATTTTTATAAATTTTTTGTACTGTTTTGTTCATAGTTAGATATTTTTAATTGTTTAGAATTTATTTAAACAAAATTATAGACATGTTAAAAAAAATTGCTTAAATGTAGCATTGCGATTTTTGCCCGAACTTCATTATTATTATTATGAATATAAGTTAAATTACTATTAAATGAAATTTTAATTATTAAAAATTAGTTTCAAATTACTTCAAAATTAGCACATTATTTAAATGAAATTGTACATTTGAAATAAAGATATTTTAGAGCTTAACAAAGCAATAAATCATTATTAAATTATTAAATATTCATATTACAATTTAATTGCATAATGTATATAAAATATTAAGCAAATTCATTGTCATTTATGAATAAACCATTAAGAGGCATAAAATGAATGGAAAAATTTTGTATATTTATATACTAATGTTATTATATAAAATGCTCCTTTCAAAAATGTTTTTTTTTAATAAAATTTTTGTTTTTTTTAAGACTAGTTTAAGTATAAGTGATTACAGTCCACTTCAAAATTATAAACACGTCCAACTTTTTTCAATAACAAAAACATTGTAATGCATTTATTATATTAATATATTGTTTACAACATCAATTTAAACATTTTCTGAAATTTTTAGAGCAATCTGACAATTACAAAAAAAATTATACTTTTGAAACAATCAAAAATTGAAAATCTGTGATAAACACGTGCACAAAAAAGTGAATTGTGATGTTTCAATATTTTGTAGGTCCACCATTTGATTTAATTAGTTCAAATACTCTATCAGGCATACATTTTACTGGTTTTTGAAGTTGTTTAATATTTTCCCAACAATGCATGATAGCTAATTTCAGTTCATTTACAGTATTGTATTGTCTGTCTTGGCCATAAACAAGATGACTCATAATGCCCCAAACATTCTATCAGGTTCATATCAGGGCTCCATCAGGCCAATCACTTACATTAATTGTTTTCAACAAACCAATTTTTAACTGACTTTGATGTATGAATGGCAGCATTATCCTATTGGAATTGCCAGTTTTCTTACCCAATAAGTGATCCAAAAGTTATTAAATTTTGATACAACAGTTCTTGATACTTTTCTGAATCCATTCTACCTTCCATAAATATAATATCTGTTTTACCTCCCCCATCCAAATCCTGCCCACACCATCACAGATCCTCCACCTTGCTTTCTGCTCATTCTGACTTCTTCATTCTTCCTTAAATCATGCCAGTAGTGACTATAACCATCAAGTCCATCCAAATTCCATTTTTTGTCATCTGAAAAGACTATTTGTTTCCATTCCTCTTTCCATGTCATCTTGTCTTGGCCCACTTTAATCTAGCTGTTCTGTGCAATTGTGTTAATTTTGGTTTGCAGCCATTTTTGTAAATTTGGCATTTTTATGATTATGCATACATCTCCATACAGTTACTGGTGAAACTGCAATTGGCAATATTGATGCTGCTTTTCTGACAGACAACTTGTTGATCGTCAGTAGCTGAAAAACCTTTCTTTCATTTCTAGGTGTAAGGAGTTTAGGCCTTCCACATCACTTATTTCTGCCATAATATTTACCTTGAGTTAACACATTTCTGATAGCACATGTGGATCAATTTATAGCTGCCGAAATTTGTCTTAGAGGTTGTCCTGATCCTTTGTTTGTAAATTTCACATATTTCCAACTCTTTTAAACCAATGCCTCGAGGAAAAACACTAAGTCACAAAAAACTGTTTAAAATTGGCACAATAATGACTGATACTCCAACTAATTAAACCAATAATTAATAAAAAAAAAATTATTGTACTAATTTTATGCACCTGTGTTTATACTTTTGAAACATTCAAAAATTGAAAATCGGTGATGATTTTTTTTGTAATTGCTTTAAAACTTTCAGAAAATGTTTAAATTGATGTTGTAAACAACATACTAATATAATAAATACATTACTGTAGTTAATGTTGTTATTAAAAATGTTGGGTGTGTTTATAATTTTGAAACTGACTGTATTACTTTTAAATAATATTAATTTAGGATCCTAAATACAAAATATAATTCTAAAATTATAAAAAGAATATGTTTATTATTTATTGCGTGAATTAATAGATAAGTGCTACCAAGTAATCAAATATGATTTTATATTTTAAAACAAACCATGAATTTAGCAATTAAACTACATTTTAAAGTATAATACAATTAAAATTGTCTTCAGACAATGAATGAGAATACAATTCATTAATGAAAATAGGTCAGATGATACCAACTTTGATTTTGAATTTATATTTAGCATACATATTTTAATTTATAATTACTTCTAAATGTGACATCTTTGTTTTCAACTTATAAAACTGGATCAAATATTGGTATGATGTATGCCAAAATACATTATCAAGACAAATAAATGAACCATGTTTCACTTTCTGGTCATGAAAGAATTGGTTGTGGCATGATTTGATGCCATATTTTTATAAATTTTTTGTACTGTTTTGTTCATAGTTAGATATTTTTAATTGTTTAGAATTTATTTAAACAAAATTATAGACATGTTAAAAAAAATTGCTTAAATGTAGCATTGCGATTTTTGCCCGAACTTCATTATTATTATTATGAATATAAGTTAAATTACTATTAAATGAAATTTTAATTATTAAAAATTAGTTTCAAATTACTTCAAAATTAGCACATTATTTAAATGAAATTGTACATTTGAAATAAAGATATTTTAGAGCTTAACAAAGCAATAAATCATTATTAAATTACTTATTTAAAAAAGTCTATTTTGAGATCTGGTGGAGGAAATATCTGATTAATGTGTAAATCGTAATGTGAGTTTTTATTGTATATATTTATATAAATATATATATATATCTTAAGGTGCCATCTCTTTCATCTCCATATCATTTCATTGAAATATTTCTATGTTAAATCCATTTATATATTATATTTACTGTTTTCTACAAATTATTTTTCTAAACTGTTATTACTTTGTGTGTATGAATGCTTAAGCAGAATTTGAACGTGTGAATTTTGAATTTCAAAATGTAAAGTGTAATGAAAACGTTAAAAAGATTTGCTCATTTTAGAAACAAATTGTAAATATTTGTAAAAGTTTGTTATTGTATATGTAAAATTTGAATAAATTAAAGAAATCGTATCTAATAATTTTATTTTCATAGGCTCATATATAATTTTTTTTAAATTATAGAAATATACTTGTATAAACTTGATTGCCAAGTAAAATAACTATAGTTGCAATGACATTTAAAAATCAAATATGAAAGAAAATTGAGCTGCAATTTTAAAAAAAATTGTAGACCTATAAATTCCAACTGTTGGTTGGCTGTCTGTCCTTAATTAATCTCTAGAACTGAGTTAGTTAGATGAAATCCGAGACCAGGTATAGAAAGCTTAGGGGCAGGAAGTTACTACTAATTACAGGTAGAGTGCATATATTTTAAATTAAAAATTACTGTGACGATGTCACAATAAATAATGCTCGTTAAGTTTTCGTACGCATTGGGTTACTCAGTTTCGGGCTTTTTTTTTTTTTTTTTTAACTCTTTCCGCCCTGTAGGCACTAAGAGGGCCTCTTTTATCAATCCATTATGGGTTCGGCCAGGTCCACAATGAGCAGCTGAGTGGTGAGGGACGGGTCCGACATATCCAAAAAATCTAAAAATTCCAATTTTTGTGCAAAAAGTCGGCTGTTTTATGTTGAGCTTTTAGAAACACAGACTTCTGAGAGAAGTCAAACTTCTCTGGCTGTGAACAATCAATCACGATCTAGATTCTAGATCGTCCTCATGGCCAAATGCTCTCGTCGTCCGGGAATAACTTTATAATTTATAAACGGTTTAAAAAAACAACCATAGCATTCTCGTTCTGGCAAAATTATTAGCGAGCTTACGGCCGAAGTTTACATCTCTAAAACTGAACGTCGGTATCTTCTAAGTGACGTTCGACGTTCAGTTTTAGAG